TAAACGGAGACAGGTATTGCATCATGCCATGAATGACAACTAAAGTTGACAAGGTTTTTATATTTTTAAGTGGGGAGAGCAGGTCAGACCTGGAAAACAGGGCATTGCTCTATAAATAGCAAATAAAAAAAGTGTATCCGGTGTGGCATCAATAAATTATTAATTATTAACAGAATAATTAATATAGGAAGATGATCCATGCATTCGACACGCATATAGTGCATGTGATATGAGCTATCTGACTTTCTTCCACATGGTCATGTGTAAACCATGCTTGTTGACAGAACAGGGCATCATGTCCAATTCACACACACGACAGATCTAGTATCTAGGTTCAGGGACATTGACAAATAACAACACAAGCATGCATGCATGAATCAGCATTTGAATTCATTACTAGGGTATCAGTAAGTTAGTCCAGCTGGCAATGAGCATTTGCCACATCATGAAATGCAGCAACTTTAGTTTAAATTTTCCTACATGTAGTGACCTTCGATCAATCAGAAAACTCCACTTTATCCATGATATTTTGTTCTCATAAATTGTCCTAAAATTTTTATATAAATCATGCAACATCAAAGAGGTACAGCTTTAAAGGTGCATGACCAGGAGTTTTTGTGCTAAGAAGAAACCACAAAACCGGCAATATACTGTTGATTGAGCTACATGTATCTGGAACACGATGTCAGTTAAGTTTTTGAGTTAGGTCATGAATATTCATAAGTTGATCATCGTACCTGCGACAATTTGAGTAGGCAAAATTCACGAGAACAATGACAGAAGTGTATTGCGTAAAACCCAAACAAGATACCAATAACAAGTTAAATATCCAATGACCCAAATCTCATGATAAAAATAGCTATTAAATTAATCAGAGTAATTGGAGCTTAAAACACGGTCATCCAAGTTCATGAAATAATCATGGTGTCAATTACAAGTTTTATACTACAAATTAGTCATAATGATTAATAGTATCCAAGTTAATGAGGTCAAGTCATTGGAAATGATGCAGGCAACTCAATCAATGTTCAAACTTCTAAGTCTTCAATAATAAAGTCAGCGAAAAAAATCTATTTCTTGTATCATTGAAAATTTGTTTAAGGAAACTGTTGAATGCAACTAACGATGTAATCTTGATTTAAATGACAGACACTTTCACTGTGGATTAAGCTATCAAAACTCATTACCATTGAAGATGACACAGAAACTTTACACTTGCGATTTTGTAACAAAAATACCCCAGTCGAATGTTTGTTGGCAGGTGGGCAGAAACAAGAAACAGTCTTGTTTTTTCCTGGCTAGAACTGTTACTACCCAACCCCCAGAGCCTAAGACTACCACCCAATTAGGGTTACTACCCAGCCCTCAGGGCCCAGGAGCACCACCCCATTATAGGGTTAATACCACCACTCCCCAAAGTGTACTACTACGCCAGGGGGATTATCTCAACAGATTCAATGTTATAAAAAAACTTAGCATGGTTTCCCTTGGGACACTGGACACATTGATATATACACATAGTCAGATAATTCAACTCAATACATGATAGGGATGAGTTCAGTTAGTCGTGATCATTCCAGAAAAGTAATTCCAGTAATGATGTCCCATGGGATTTGTCAGGAAATAGCCATAAATAAGGATAAAATAAATGACTTCTCACATCGACCCAATAATAGCTGTATCAGACCATGATAACACAACAAGAGTATGCAGATAACCTATATACATTGTGCATATATCGAACAGTGTTTCATTAGTTTAAAAATACTGTATCACCAGTCATGCGTGCAACATCCACAGCTATAAATACTACCTCTATGTGCTATATTGAGATTAAAATTTCAATACAGGCAGTATTAAAAAAGAGCAACACAAAATCACTCAACAGTGAATAAGAGGTAATTACTATAAACAATTAAATTTTTTACTGCAATGAAGTTTTTCGATTTAATGATTTCATGGCATTTTAAAAACAAAATTTTGCAAAAGTCAATGACACTTCCAGTCATTAGACCGGGAGAAATTTTCACTGTAACAAAATTTTTAAGATTTCCATTGTCTCACCAATGTTCAAGAAAATTTGTCTTGTATTGTATCAAAGTGGTGTACAACTATTACTTTATTATAATACAAACAAAAAACTGTAAATACAAAATGTACTACCGGTAACCTATATTTCATTCCTGCATTTTTCAGACAAAGCTTACATGCACTGTTGTCAATAACAGTCTAACAAAAAATACGTTTACAGTATGGAAAGTTTAGAAAGAATTCCAGTGTGCTGAGAGTATTGAGCATATTAAAATTAATTGATATGCTAATTATTAATTATTATACAAATTAAGTAATTAATATGTGTAGACTATAATTAATAACTGATCAGGTGTGTGAATTGTCCTAGAGCATCTACCGTATTTGTCTTCAATTAGG